GGGGGGCAGGGTGGAGTTGACAACCTCTAGGTCCGGCCTTCCCTGGGGCTGGGACTCTCCCCTCCGAAGGGCATGTGGCTGGAGGGAGAGGGGACAGGACGGGCGTGGGAGGGAAGGAGGCAGCAGCCATTGGCCAAGGAGGTGGGATGGGCCCTGGGTGCGGGAGTGGGAGGGCTCTGGGAAGGTCTCCGGGGGGCCGGGTGGGGGGGTCGGTGAGGGCTCGGACTGCCCAGGCCTCCCCTTCAGGCCCCCTAGCAGCGTGTGGACTGGGCTGGCTCTGGGAGGGTGCCAGGAACGGCTCCTGCCCGATAAAAATAGATTTCTCTGAAGGGCTTGGGGCCGTGCCAGGAGAGCAGGTGCCCCCCAGGCCTGGCCAGGGTGGGTGCCCCTGGCGAGGGGGGATAGGGCTGTGGGGGCCCAGGTTTGCGCCCGAGCAGCAGGGTGGGTGCCGTGTCCTGGGTGCAGGATCCCTGAGCTCGAGGGGACAGTCACCTGGACGAGGAAGGAAGAGGCTGGGGGAAGGGGGGGGGGCGTTTGCCCGGAGGCCCTGCCGCCCAGAGGCCAAGGCCGGGAGAACCCCAGCCCAGCTGTGGTCCTGCTTCCGGCTGTGTGAGGGGGCAAGTGCCTGGAGCTCTCTGAGCTGCTGTGTTACCACGATATGGCGACAGCCTCGGTCACGGTGTGCAGCTTCGGCACCGCGCCTGGGGCACCCTCAGTGACAGCGCCGTGGGAGCCCTGTGGGACGCCCAGTGTCCCGAGCTGTCTCAGGGGGTTGCTGCTGGAGGCGGGGCGAGGAGCACTGGAGGGGGTGCCGGCCAGGGCCCCTCGGAGTTGACTGCTGATTGCAGGGGCCGGGCGGCTGTCTGGGCGCTGGGCTCGGAGCAGGCTTCCCAGCGAGGCCTCCCGGGACCCGTGTGCTGGGGGTCTTTCCTCCTGGCCCCCCCCCCCACAACTTTCTGAGGGCCTCTGGGCTGGCAGGGCAGGGAGGGCGTGGACCAGCACGATGTCACTCCACTCTTGGGGCTCCTGATCCCAGGAGCATTTGCGTGTGGAAGCCTCGCCAGGACCCTGGGGACGGTTTTGCCTGGGAAAACCCTGGAGGGCCTCCTGGGGAGGGGGCGTCTTGACTGAGCCCTGGAGGACGAGCTCATGTGGAGACAGCACCCGGCTCAGCCTTCCTGTGGGGCCCTGTGCGTGGCTCCCAGCACCTCCTTTCCTGCTGCACACTGGGCAGGGCGGAGAGCGACAGCGCCCACCACTCCACGGGAGGTTCGGGGAGGGACAGTGGTGTGGAGCACATAGTAGGGGCTCAGGCCGCGGAGGGGGCCTTAGAGTGAGGCCGGAGCCTGAGCAGGAGGCTGAGCAGGAGGCTGAGCAGGTGGACCTCAGGGCCAGGCAGGCGGGGCCTCGTCCTGGGGTGTCAGCCCGGTTACCCCTGGGGCCAGGGGCACCTCCTTTGCATTTTCAACGTTGGCCTGTGCAGCCCGGCCGGGTGGCTCAGAGGTTGGGCATCGACCTATGACCCAGGAGGTCACGGCTGGATGACCGGTCAGGGCACAGGCCCGGGTTGTGGGCTCCATCCCCAGTGTGGGGCGCGTAGGAGGCGGCCGATCCATGATCCTCTCTCATCATGGATGTCTCTCTCTCTCTCCCTCTCCCTTCCTCTCTAACATCAATAAAAATATATTTAAAACAACAACAAATAAACAAGAACACGTTGGCCTGTGCTGAGGGGCCCCCAGGAGCTCCCCCTCCCCCGCAGCCCGAATTCCCTGAGGCCCTGGGGCTGCGGGCCTCCTCTCTGCGCCCCGGGCCGGGGGCCCTGGGGTCCTGGGCGCAGGGGAGGC